GGGGACTTGTAATTTGTATAAAGATGTTCACAAATGTTTATTTAAATAAAAGTTCTATTTATCCCTTGTGAAGTCATCTCTCTCCATCCTAGAAGATTAATGTTGTCTGATCTCCTGCTGTCGGCTCCGTGCATGGTCACCAGGAGGAACAACCAGCGCAGCACCGCCCGCCCGGACCACAAGCGCCGATGGAAGCCGATGGGCGCCGCGCACCCTGAACTGGACCACGAGGCTGCGGCTGCGCCGTCCTCTGCCCATCCCCACAGGGCCGGGAGGGAGCAGCGCTGGGCAGAGCTGAGCTTCTCCAGCTCTGGAATGCGGATCTCAGCCTTCGGATGCAGCAGCAGCAGCAGCAGCACAGCTCCATGGCTCCCAGCCCGGCACAGGGGAGAAAGACGCGGCGGTGATGCTCGGCACGGGATCGGTGACGCCTGGGATCCGCGGTGCCTTGGCACCCTGTGAGACGTGACTCGTTGTTCCCGCCCTGCCTGTACTTTTTGTCTCTTGCGTTGTTCTTATGATTTTTGTATGATTTCTCGTCCTCCCCGCGCCCAGGAGCTCGGATCCCTGGCCTTGTGCACCGCAGGACCCCGCTGTCGCTGTCACTGTGCCTGCGAGCGCGGCTCCTGCAGGCGCCCAGGAGCACAGGCACAGAGCCTTTGTTTTGTACGAGCGGGGACCACGTTTGTGCAGGAGGAGGACTGGGGCGGCACTGCAGTGAAGGAGCTCTGGAGTTCGGTCCCTGTCGGTGCCACCTACCTCACAGGGCTGTTGTGAGGCTTCGTTCCGTTCGTCCCCTGTGGGCCGCTGGGCTGCGGGCAGTGCAGGGGGGTTCTGAGGGCCCACGTTTTGTTTTTATTCACCATTTCTTACGCTCTTTGTACCTGAAGTCAGCGCCGGGGCCCCTTTTTGTTCTGCACTGCGATTTCGTTTCCTCCTCACGGCCTTTTAGGAGCGGAGCTGCAGCCCTGGCCGTGCGAACTGATGGGCGGCGATGGGCGCAGCGTGCGGAACTCATTCATTTCACTTGCTTGAGGTTGTCACTCTGAGTTGAGCAGTGTTTGTTTCTTTCAGCCTGTATGAGGGGCAGGATGGGTTTGGGGGTTTTTTTTGGTTTTTTTTTGTTTTGTTTTTTTTCTTCCCTTCCAGCAGGTTTAAAAACAAAAAAAGACTAAGCTATTGTCTAAATGGTTCAGAACTAGTGTGATATTGGGATACTTCAGTGGCTGTTATGTGATACTGGATCTTTTTACAACATAGATTAAAGACAATAAAAAGGGATAGAGTAGTAACAGCCTCTGTCCTCGTCCTTCTGTTCAATGGGAGCGGGGCTGTACGTGGGGGAGGGTTGGGGGGCTGGGTGCTCTTCATTGTAGCCTATGGGGCAAAGAGTTGTAGGTGAAGCCCCCCAAGGGCCCCCAGCTGCCTCCCCCCCCAAAAACAACGCAGCCACGCTGAGGGCAACATCGAGAAGCTTTATTTATTTCAACTCGTTTACAATAGGAAGAGAATCACAACATCAAATCAGGAAATGGTGCTCAGGAGACAGACACGCAAAGCCCTGCGTGGGTACAGAGCAGCTCTGCCCCACTGCCCCCAGGGGGGACCCCGACCCTCTGCCCCACTGCTGTGCGGCTCCGACCCTGGAGCTGCAGCACAACCTCCGTACAGCACAAAATAATGAGGAAACATCACATGTAGCCAACGCTCCCCGCACTCCTCACAGTGAGGTACGCATCGTCCCCCCCACGGGTGGGGAAACTGAGGCAGAGGGCTTCTATGACTGCCCAGGGCCGGGAGCCTGGAGCTGCGCTCGCCCCACATGGGGCCGAATGCGTCTGCGCTCGCTGCCCCACATCCTGCCCCACGTCCCGGGGTGACGGAGCGATGCTGAGCGCTCGGGAGGTGCGGGAGGAGCCCCGTGTCTGATGGATCCCAGACACCAGCTGGCGGCCAGCGAGGCTCTGTGTGCAGGGATGGCACGGGCAGCGCCGCGGGGAAGCCGGGTGGGGATGGGGTGAAGGACGGAGCGCTCCTCCGCTGTGCCCTGGGCTTTGTGCCCAGACCCGGGGGCCGCTGCTGAGAAATTCTGCCCAAACGCCACCACTGAGAGCCAGGGGGAGCCCAGGGGCAGCAGAGCGCGCTACATTCAGTCCGCAGCCGGGACAGTAAACTGCTTGTACAGTAGAAAAAGGCCCATAGTAACCACACCGGCAATGACACGGCACCCCCCGGGGGCCAACAGCCGCTTGGCCGCTCTGAGCCCCTCCGTGCTCCCACCCCGAGCCCAGGGCACAGCGCTCAGAGCGCATCCCTGCACTCAGCATCTCCACCACCGCCAGCACCGCGCTGTGCCATCGCTGCAGCCGACGCCGGGCCCCACGCTCAGCACCGCGCGGCCGTACATTCACGTTGCATCAAAGTCGAACCACAACTCCATTAAAAGTAATCAGGATGATTTTTTTTTGCCCTCCCCAAAAGACTTTTGGTTCCAGAAGCCCTCGGGCAGCTCCAGGCACCGCTCCCTGTCCTGCTCTGCCCCCAGCAGCCTCCATGCACGGCCAAAACCCAACGCACTGCATGCAGCCGCCTCCCGACATCAGCGCTGCCCCGAGCGGCACCGCAGCCGTCGCACAGTGAGCACAGCGACCCACAGCGCTGCGGCGCTTCAGCAGCGACCCAACGCAGTGCAAAGACAAAGTGCAGCGTTGCCATCGCTTTCCTACAGCAGTGCTGGAGCTGAGCGGGGCCACGTCTGCCTCTATGGGGACTCAGAGCAGCACCGGCCCCACACGCGCTCCGGTCCGGCTCTGGGAGGAGAGGCGGAGGGGCTGAGCTGCCCTGAGCCCCCTCTTTCCAACAGCCCTATTCCAAAAGTGCTGGAAAAAAAACTAAAAAAAAAAAAATAGAAATAAAAAATACGTATCGATGGATTGCAGAGATGGAGCTCTGGTGTTCAGAATTTAGCAATGGAAAGAAGGAAGCGTCAGCGGAGGGGCAGTGATATATACTGGGGGGTGTGCAGGAGGCTGGGGGGGGAGAGGGGCAGGAGGAGCTCAGTGGGGCTGGGGGGGCACAGGGGGGAGGTGGTGAAGAGGAGGAGGAGGAGGAGGAGGAAGGCAGCAGGGCTGTGGGTATATATAACCGCCCCGCTCAGGTGCAAATCTGCATTGCTCGTTTCAATTTGTATCCAGAGGAAAAAAAAGCACTTATGAAACTAGCAGACGACTTGGATGCAAACTAGTACATTTTAATGCCATTTTATTAGAAATCATGCAAACTTTAATATAAAAAATACAAGTGCAATAAGAATCTTTGTGTGTAAATACAGATTCCGGGTTATCGTGTCGTTGTCGGCTTCCCCAAGAACCGTTCCCACAAAGCTGAGAAGCCATCAGCTTCCCTCCGCCCCTCCGCGCAGCCCCCGGCAGCGCCTGCTCCCCTCCATTGACTTTGATCCCAGTGTTTCATTATTCTGCTTTTTTTTTTTTTTTGCTTTTTTTTTTTTTGCTTTTTTTTTCTCTTTAAATTACTTCGACGACCCAAGAACGGCTTTTCTGGTTTATTATTATTATTTTTTTTCTTTTTCTTTTATTTACATCTCATCTTTTTTTTAGTGTCATTTGCAAACACGGAACGAGGAGCTCCGGCCTCACGCAGCAGCTCACCTCCCCGGCTCCACAGCCACAAACCCTCTGCACTTCCCGGCCCCACTCCAAGCCCTGCAACCACGGGGTTTCCCAGAACCCACAGAGCTGCTCCAAATCCACAGAGCTGCCCCAAAGCCATGGAGCTGCCCAGGAGCCCACAGAGCTGCACAGCCCGTGCTCAGCCTCCAGCCAGAATGAGCCCGAGTTGGGCTGTACCAACCAACAACTAACCAACAGCCAACCAACAGCCAACCAACAGCCAACCAGCAATCAACAACCAACAGCCAACTGACATCCAACAACCAGCCAAAAGCCAACCAACAACCAACCAACAACTAAAAGCCAACAGCCAACCAACAAACATCCAACCACCAGCCAACCCGCAATCAACAACCGACCAACAACCAAAAGCCAACAGCCAACCAACACCCAACAACCAGCCAAAATCCAACCGACAGCCAACCCAACGTCGCCGCACAGCGGGGCCGGCACCAACGCAACGCGTCCGGCTGCAGCCAACACAGCTCTGCCCGAGCTGCTCACCAAGAAGCTTTCCTTCAACACATCCCTACGCCTTTCTCTTTCGGACATGGCTTAATCCCATGAATTTGCTCCATCGTTTTTAAAATATTAAAAAAAAAAAAAAAAAGAAAACAAAACAACCAACCAACAACAAAAGTTACGACTGCTGGATATGTCAGTAAGAAGCAGCACTGCAGCAGCGGTTAATGTCCCTACTCTGCTATGGTTAAGGAAAGAGGAAAGGAACCTCGGTGTGGGTTTGTAGCACGATAAATCATCAACACGTCGTCACAAAGAATAAAAGGTAAAAGTCAACAGTTAAAACAGCCCTAACGTGTGTGGTAACAGCGTCAATGGGGTCAGGGAACGAAGCAGCCAGGAGGAAAAGGGGGTTCTCTTAAAAAGAAAGAAATCACAGCTTATCCCTATTAACTCGGCCCGGCCGCCGCCGCGCTCCCCCCGGAGCCCCCGGGACAGCATAGCACTGACCCCCAAACCCCCAAACCCCCAAAGCCAAAGGGAGGGGGCCGCTGGGCAAATCCCCGTCCCGCGTGAAGCCGGAGGCCGCGTGAAGAGAGCCAAGCTGCGTTACGGGGCGCGGGGCGGGGGGTCACAAGCCTTGCTGCGGGAGCGCGGCGGGGAGAGCCGGCGGCTGCGGCGGTGCCGGGGAGGCCGGGCTGTCGCTGGCAGAGGTGCTGCTGGGGAGGGTGGGGGGTTTGGAGGCGACGACGATGTCCGCTCCGTGGTCGGTGCGCGCCTTCGCCTTCTCACGGAACGTCAGCCTGTGGGATTCAATCTGCAGCGACAAAGGGCGGGGAGGGGGGTGGGGGGGGGGGCGGGGGACGGGGAGAGGAGAGAAGGGGGAGAAGGGGACGGGAGACGATAGCAGAATGTCATCGTTAGATGCCTGGAAGATAAAAGGCAATTTTCCGAGTTAAAACAACAGCAGGAGCCCTACGGCCGTCGCTACAAACAGTTCCACGCTCGGAGGACAGCGGGGTGCGACCGGTGCTCTCCCACCCCCCGGCAGCGTGATGAGAAGCGCGGGCACTTACTTGTTTCTTGTATCTGAGTCTCGAAGCTCTGAATTTCCCTTTGGTCACCACCGCTCAGGGCAGTGGGCACCGCCGGCCCTACGCCATTCTCCTGCAGGGCGCTGCCTGCCTGCGCCGCTCGCACCTCTCCGTTCTGAGGGGCTGGCGGGAGCTGCTCTGGCTCCGCGCTGCCCTCAGCCTACAAGGAGACAACAACGGGGTGGGGAGGACGACAGGAGCGGTCAATAGGAGACGGGGCGCCGGGGGGTGACGTCTGAGCCCCTCCGCCCTCCCCTGTGGGCTCAGCGCCCCCTCGGAGCCGGGATGGAGGGCAGAGCTCTGCGGGCCCAGAGCCGAGCTGATGAGGGCAGCTCCGAGGAGCCGAACCCCCTGCGGGCTCACAGGACCAAAGGCTGGAGTTGGAAGGGACCTTGAAGGTCCCCTAACCCAACTCCCTGCAACCAAGCGGGTGCTCAGAGCCCAGCCCCTGACCTCGGGTGCCTGCAATGAAGGGGCTTCCACTGGCTCTCGTGGATGCATTCATACACCAGACCTAAAGGAAACGCAGTAGATCCCCAACCTGGATGGCCAAGCTTTGATGCTGGACTACAAGAACTGGGCCCAGGAAGGCAGCCTTTAGAGAAGCCCCTGTCCTGCTCTGCCCCAAATCCCACCTGCAGTCACCAGCTTCTGCTGGCGTTCAGTTCACAGCAGCTCTGCTCTTATTCTGTGCCCCTGCCCTATAAAGCCCCCTCCATGGGGAACAAGGACTGCTGCTGCACGGCCATGACCTTCCGTATCACAGAACCATGGGATGGCTGTGCTAGAAGGGTCCTTAAAGATCACTGAGCCATGGAATCACAGCATGGCTGGTTTGGTAGGGAACCCCCAGCCCCATCCCAAGGGCTCAGGCTGCCCAGGGCTCAGCCATGGCCTCGGGCACCTCCAGGGCACCCACAGCTCCAATGGCGATTGGGAAAAATGAGACTAATGCAGACCAGCTAAGATTTGACAGGCAGCAAACAGCACCAGCATATGGGTAGGAACCCCAACAAAGGGGAGCAGTCATGCATCACTGCACTGAGGTCTCTGCCCCAACCAATGCAGCAGTTCTCCCAGAGCAGCTTTCAGCTTTTCGCCGAGCCCATTCTGTCAGTCTGAGGGTTCCACAAAGGACTGGAGATGGGAGAGTCCCAGCACATCCCAGCAGTCACCTCTTGCCACGTGTTAATGGGGCTCAGTGCAGCACTGCTCCCTGCCCTCCAGGGCAGCATCAGCTCTTGGAACAGCGTTCACCCCCACAGCCCAACCCAGCAGCGCCTGAGGTCCCTCCAGCACCCACAGGTGCTCCACGGAGCGATGCTGGGATGAGCGCAGGGCTCGGTGCTCCCAGGGCTTCCCCCCTCCTGCTGGGGGCACAGCCAGGTCCCAGCTTTGCCATTCAGAAGCAGCATTTGGCAGAGAAGCTGCAGCACAAGTGGACGTACGAGGCTGCAGTTCCCAGCACTACTCCAAGCACTCTGGGACACAGAAGCCCACAGCTTGGCTCTCCCCTCCCCAAGGAAGATGTCAATTTGCAGAGCTCAGGATGGGGGCAGCTCGAGTTCTGCTTTCATGGGGAGAAGCTGTGAGTCACAGCAACACTGCACAAATCCTCAGTCAAAGGGCCTTTGGGCTGAGCTGTGGGATGGGCTGCTGGGGCCATTTCCCAGCAATAGCAGCTGGGGTCTCAGCAAATTCCACTGTGGAGCAAAAGGAGAAGGGGAGGAAGTCCTGCACAGCTCCTCTGACGTCCCACAGCTCAGAGCACAGCCTGTGCTAAGGGCCTTGGGGAGGGATGTGATGGGGCAGCTCGAGCCCTGCACGTAACACACAGCAGGGACCCATTCAGGCTGCCAGTGTGTTCACAGCTCTTCTCTGTGAGTCATACTGCTGGGGCTCACAGCAGGCTACGGAAAGAGGTGGCTATAAAAGGCCGGGGTGGAGAGGCTGGGCTGCAATAACAGCAGGAGAAGGAGAAGATCCAAATGTCAGCCCCACGCCGCTGTACCAGAGCTCGCCGCACCCACCTTCACTGTTCCTCCTGCTGGCAAGTGTCCCACGTTGTCCAGAGAACCCACTTTGGCTTGGGCCTTTTCCTTGAAGTTCAGCTTCTGATTCTCGATTTTGACATCTCCTCCCCCTAGGACAAGATGGAGGAGCAGTGAATTCATGGGGGGCTCTGAATGGTTCTACCCAAACTGTCCCCTCCCGACCCGTAGAGAAACCCCCAGCATCCCATTGTGCAAACATCAAGTCCAACTGTGGAAGTGCCCACAACAGAAATACAGGCAATGATGCCACAGAATCCGGTGGCTGCAAATATGCCTAAGATTGGTTCCCAAATTCTCCCTGTGCATTCCCATTCCCACCCCACCGCTGTGAGCGACACACAGAGCCACGTGTCACCATGGCAGGAGGTGGAAATGGAGGGGACACTGAGGGCACACGTGGAGATGGATGGGCACCGAAGGTCAGGAAACAACCACGGCCCTTCAGCAACATGGGTGGCTGCAGTTCCCCCATTGGCACCACCTTGGTGTGGCCAACAGTGGGAGCCAACCGAGCAAACCAGTGAGAAGCTCTGACAGCAGAGAGCTCTGGATGGATCACTCTGCTTTCACCCCAGGACAAGGGCAGCATTGTTGCACAGAGCTCATGGTGAGATGGCTGAACAAGCAGAGGTCACATTGGAGGCCCCATGTTCTCAGCATGGAAGCTGTGATGTGTTCAGCTGTGGAGCTCTGTGCGTACGGCTGAACTGCTTTCAACCCATCGTGCTGGCAGAGGGGGCCAGGAAACACCAGGAGCACACAGAGACAAGTGTGTGATCATGGCTTCCAGCTCTGGTCACTGAGATTCATCCCTCGCACACGGATGTGCCATTGCCATCAGTCCTCCGTGCAGTAGCGGCCCCCACACAGAGCCATAGCAGCACAAGGCAGCATGCTGGCCACGCTTCAGGATGCTACAGAGACACAGTGTGCTGCCAGCCGTGGTGCCTGGAGGCTGCAGGCTGTCACTGTGCTCTCAGTGGGGAACAAACAGTTCCTGCACCCTCATCTCATAATATGGCACCGAAGAGCCCAAATAAATCAGGAGCTCTGCTGAGCTGGAGGCTGACACTTCCCTCGTAGCTGCTCTACCACCTGCACAGAGGGCACTCGTCCTCCCATGGCTCCTTCCCCAGCACAGCCCTGGAGCAATCTGAGTGTGAATAAAGCCTCCACCCCCCAGAAGCAGCCACGGTGCCTATCCAAGCACTTCAGTGGGTTACCTCCAGGGTAAGGCATCTCCCATCCCTCCTCTGCACTCAAAACCACTACGAACCCAGGCAGCCCTTCTGGAAATACAGCCTGGGAGCAACAAAGCCCCTGAACTACTTCAGTACTGCAGGGCAATGCATAAATGACTTCATCTTCTGCAGACAAACAATGAGGAAATGGTAAAATCCCCACCTGGCTTATGCTTAATATTTGCTTTCGAGCCGCACTTGGAGGACACTTTGGAGAGGTCCACTTTCTTGTTCTGGATCTGCACCTGGAGAGACAGAAAGAAAGAACTGAACACAAAGAACCACTCCTGGGCACCTGGAGGCCAACGCGCCTCCCCCCATCGGGTCCTGGCACCTCCTGAACCCACACCCCTTTGCACTGGGTTCTTTACCCACCCCCAACCTCCCAGCCACTGAACGCCCCACGCTTTGGTGTCACCTGTAGACCTGCACCAACCCGGAGCAGTTAATGTGAGCAGAGAGAAACTGAAGGCAGGTCAAAGCTGACACATGGACAAGAATCAGCAATGCTTTGTGCTCATGGCACATCCGTGGCAGAGGGACAGAGAGGAGCTGCTCTCACTGCCACGTCCCCCATCCCGTCTGCTCAGCGGAGGTTGGGCTCAGCGATCTCAGCTTCTCCAACTGCAATGGTTCTGCGGTTCAATGATCGTGCCCAGATGGAACAACTGGAGAGAACAAGCTGCCCTCAGAGACAAGCAGTGCGTGGGAGCTGCTTCCCATCACTGCTGAACCTCACTCTATCAGTGATCTGAGACCGGCAGAGAAAATCTCTCAGGAAAAAAACATCGAGGTGATGCAACCATAAGATCGTGACACATCCATGCTCAGCAAACCATCTTCAAAACCAATAATGAGCCAAATGTTCCAACACAGCTCTTACAGACATCGGTTTGAATTTGGGGCAAAGCATCTTCTCTATGTTAGCACAGCGGTGCAGGTGAGGAGTCACTGGTTTGGGGTCCTTCTGTCCTACAAACATCTCTTCTCAGACCATGGGTTCATGGGAACAGGCTGCCCAGAGAGGCTGTGGATGCCCCATCCTTGGAGGTGTTCAAGGCCAAGTTGATGGGGCCCTGGGCAGCCTGGTTTAGCATTAAACGAGGAGGTTGGTGGCCCTGCATGTGGGGGGTTGGAGATTCATGATCCTTGAGGCCCCTTCCAACCCTGGCCATTCTGTGATGCTGTGATTCTGCAATGCACTGAGCCCAGCTTGAGGCCTTAAGGCTCCTCCCTGCAGCTCCAGGTGGGTGAAAGACCCCCCTGCTCCAAAGTCAGCCCCTATGTCTTTCATTCCATGCAGTCATCTGACATCTCCTGGGGATCCAAACAGTCCTACCTCACTGGAAGTGTAACAACTCTAACATGAGTCGCTGCGTTCAGATCGCAATGGGAGAAGAGCAGGGCTGGCACCTGCAGAGCCAAACACTCAGAGCCCACTGCCAAGTACAGCTGAGCCTCCAGTGCTCCGTGCAGAGGTTCTGGTAGGAAGGTGACCCTCATCTCTTGGTACGTTTTCCATCTCTGACCATCACCTCATCCAGCTCTGGAGCTACAGCCAAAGGGTAGGGAAACGACGTGCAAACTCCAAATCATCTGATTAAACCTGCAGCAATACCCACTCTAGCTGCATGGTGGAAAATCTGTGGCTTTACTGTTGCTTTCTTTAAAAGAAGGGGGGGAAAAACACTAAAGCATAAGAAAGGCTCTGCCCAGGAAATTCATCCTTGTGTTGCTGTATTTCTGTCAGATGTGATGGAAACAGGAAGGAATCCCTGCAGGCATTCAAGGCCAGGCTGGATGTGGCTCAGGGCAGCCTGGGCTGCTGGCTGGTGACACAGCAGGGGGTTGGAGCTGGATGAGCACTGTGCTCCTTTCTGTGATTCTAACTGGTGCTGCAGCAGTGCTCAGCCCCATCCACACACACTGTGCTCCCAGAAGCAGCGGCGTCAGCAGCAACCTCAGGGCTGGGACTGCTGAGCCTGGTGTCCAACAGAACCCAGCACTGAGTGCCAACACCACGCAGAGACACCTGCAGTTCCATGGCCACCGGGCGCCACGGGATGTGCTGGCACTGCTCCTCAGCCCAGCATCCATTCACACCAACAGAGAGAGACCTTTGTGCTCAACACTTGGGTGTCTTTTTGGAACCATCCACCAAAACCACCAAAACGAGTACAGCAGGTCAGCACTGCCTGTCTGCCAGGCTACCACCACCTCCCTGCAGGCATTCAAGGCCAGGCTGGATGTGGCTCTGGGCAGCCTGGGCTGCTGGTTGGTGACCCTGCACACAGCAGGGGTTGGAATGAGGTGAGCGCTGTGCTCCTTTGCAACCCAGGCCGTTCTATGAGTCCATGATTTAGCACCTGTGTAGTTTTGTAGTTACCTTGTGTTCTTTTGCCAGAAGCTTTCAGGATACAGCCCAGCAAACCAAGCACATGGACACCACCAGGTGAGCTCTGCGCTCAACGAGCTCAGCTCTGCTGCCAGAGACACCAGCAGCTTTTACAGCAGCCTCTACTTTCAGAAGCTAATTGCAGCTTCAAGGGTGACTCCCAGCCTTCCCCTCCTCTGCTGAAGTCTCCTTTCTTGTGAGACACAGAGGGAAACGAATCTGACTCAGCACACCTCATCTCATCTCACATCAGACAGCAGAAGCAGGCCGGGAACTGATGGGCCTCCACTGACTGCAGAGGGAATCCACAGTGCACCAACTCCCGGGGCCAGCATTGAGCACATCTCCATTCGCTCAATTAATACCGCGTAAACGAGGCGAGAAAGAGGTCAGGAGCTGCAGCTGTCAGCCAGCAGCAGCACCCACCCACAGCAGCACCCATGGCCAATGCGGGTCTCCAGCCCACGCCGTTTGCACGAGCCCTGAAATTCTGCCACACCGTTCTGCAGGAACAGAGCATCCATGGACCGACACACAACAACACAGTACACGAGCAGGAGTTAGTAGAAAGACAGCTTGCCCAGAGTCCATACTTACATTCCCACCTCCAGGGACATGCTTAATATTGTCCTTGGAACCACACTTGGACTGAACATGGCTGTAGTTCGCTTTTTTGGAGACTATCTGGACCTGGAATGTTACAGAATGGAAAACAACACAAGGGAGAGGACCGGTTAGCGTTGTGGCTGGAGAGGATGCTCCGAACGGCGACAAACACGGGGCTGTGTTAAACTCACAGCAACTGCAGAAACGGGGGTGGAAGCAACGGAGAGGAGAGCGAGAGAGAAGTGAAGACGTGGATGGAACAAGAGCTGCACAGTGTTAGTGTGAGAGCGTGGCACTGCCTGAGGAGGTGGGGGTGGAAGGGCCTCAAAGGTCGCCCAGGGGAGCCATGGGCTGCCGTGTCCAGCGGAGCGGGGCTGTGCTCACACTCCTGCCTGCAGGGCTGGGGATGTCCTCCAGCAGCCGTGGGCATAAAGCCTGGGCTGAGAGACCCCACATCCCACTGAAGGCTGCACAACCTCCTTCCCGTTGATCTGATGAGTCTTACGGTCATTAGAGAGATGCACTGTTTCCCCTTAAACTATCAGGACTGTTTATTCTTATTTTCTTTTTTTAACCAAATCCCAAAGCAGTGCATACACGGGCTGCCTTTGATTCCCAGGGGTTAATTAACTGAGTCAGAGTGCCAGATCCACGTGTCTGTAGGGTTAGTGACAGCGAGCAGCGCTCCCCGTGGCAAAAGCTGAACCCCAAGCACTTGCTGGAAAGAGGTGATGAACCCAAAGCACGAAAGGAAGCACCGGAACACTCTCACTGTAACAGGTTTCCACCAGCAACTCGTCCCGTTCAGAAAGACTGGATTCAGTGCAACCCTGTCTGAAAAATGCACTTTGGCCATTGAGCTCATGTAGGTTTACTGCCTTCCACGGAGCACAAACCCTGGCTGCTCGTTACAGGCTCTCCCTGAATCCATCTGAGCTGGGGCAGCGGTGGCTGCCCAACACACCAGGCTGCTCCCAGGCAGTGGATGGGAACATTGGAGGGAAGAGCCCTTCATGCTCTGCAACATCCACAGCGATGCACGGCGCTGAGCTGCAGCTCTGGCCCTGGTTCCAAATGAGCGCCGTGTAGGAAAAGTGGCCTTAAGGGAAAAGTGGTGCTGAGGCTCTTCCGACTCAAAATTAAGGCTAAAAGGGCAAATGGAGAACTCTACTCCAAAAATGCTCACGGAATGCAGAGGCATCATTACCACCGTGGTCTCCACGTGTTTTACTGAGCACATCCCAGGGAAGAGCCGGAGAAGTGTTGTGCAAGGGACAGTGACACTGACAGGAGAAAGCAGGAGAGCTGAAGAGAAGGGAAAGTGACTCAAAATGGAAATGTTGTCCTTCATCTCCCACAGAGAAAAGTCTGAAAGGAACTCACTTTCCCATTGGGCTGTTTGGGGACACCCTCTTTTGTTACGGCTGTTTTAGTTGGAGCCATTTTAGGGACCGCATTGGGCTCAGACTTTCGGGCAGCAGCGGTTGATTCTGGCTTTTTCTCTACCTTCCCCTAGATGGAGACAAATGGATGGTTTCAACCAGCAACAGCAAAGGCACGGGCAGGAAGGCACGGGAATCCCAGCTCCCCATCCACACAGCACAGCTGCCAACCCCAGAGACCTGAGCAACGCAGCTGGGGCCCAGCACCGCGGCCGGGAGTCCAAGAGGACACCATCACACACTGAAAGCACCGACCCCAACCTTGGGTTAAGCCAACAGCAGCACAGGACCACCTCCTTCCCACGGAGGGCACTGTGCAGACCTGGGGGATACACACTGCTGGCACATCTGCTTTGCTTGGAGCTTCCACCCCATGCACAGCTGTGCTGCCATTCGGGTTTCTCAGCCCCACACTGCCTGGACTCAGGCTTGGGAATGAAGAGCTGATGTAATTTTGCAGCTTAACCCAGGTGATTGTAGCTGATCCCATTAAACAGAAGATGGAATAAAAAGGTACAATAATAGAAAAATTCACCAACTGCCTGAGAATATCCACTCGTCTGCTGCTCTGGATCCAGGTGAGCAGAGCAGTTTGTCAGCAGGGATCCTGCCTTCCCCGACCCACCAGGAAGCAAAGCCTGAGCACTCAGCACTGAGGCATTTTGAGGCCCTGGAAGCATCCAGCATAAGGAAGGGTACAAAAAAGACAGCTTTCCTCAAAATCAAATGTAGCACCTCTATGAAAACGGCAACAAAGTAAAGGGCAGTCAAACAGAATGTGAAAACACATCCCTTGAACCGACACGGTAACCCTGCAAGGCACAGAGCACTGCAACCCTCCAGACCCCACCATGGTCTAAACCACAGAGCAGCCATACGTGTCCTTTCTGAGCAGATACCAGAAGCATTTCTGAACATCAGTTTGGTTTCAATTTGCAGTGTGTTGTGCTGGGAAGGGTCTCAATTCTGCTCGCCTCAAAGCTCTGCAGTTCTTCTTGCTGTCACTTCCAGAAACTGTTCTGGGGAGTGAACGTTTTATCTCCCACACCTCCAAGCTCAGGGGACCACACTGTGATAGAGCACAGCACACCCATAACTGCAGGGTAACTCCATGCACACTTGGATGCTCCCTGTGGCACATGACCCCACAGAACACCCTGGCTTCCATGTGCCAAAGAGGAGATTTGGGCTCCCAGCACCAACTGCGTTCCCTTGGCGTCAGGTGGAAGCTGTGGGTTGGGCATTCATACCAGCAGAGCTGCAGCAAAGGTAAGTGGGTGAATTTGCTCCACTTTGTGGAATCTGAAGCCCTCTGATTATAGGCAAGCTGCTGGGCAATGATGGCTGTACCTGCTGGACAACATCCAATAAGGATTTTAGGATGAAGGATATCCACAAAGCGATTACAAAAGGGCTACAGGCACATCCCCAAACCTGCACCATTGACATGGCAGTGAAAATGCAATTTAAGCCCATTACTGATGGAGAGCCTCAAGTGTTATCTGTGCACGCACTTCTCCCTACAGCTCATCCAACACTTCTTTTATTGTGGCCACCATAAATCATCCAAAGGGCAGAAGTGGCACTTGGGGACATGGTGGGAAGGGTTGATGCTTGGGCCTGGTGGTCTTTTCCAACCTTCACTACTCCATGATTCTATGACCTTGTGGGCTGCAGCTGCACGTGGAGAAATTGCATCCCATCCTTAACCAGTGACTGTGCTGGTGGGACCCCAAAAGCTCTGCCAACAGAGCTCACAGCACGTTCCTTGAATTGCTGTGGGTACAGATGTGCTTTGCTGGGAATGCTGGAAGTCCCCACCTTTAGGGACACGGCTTAGTGGGCATGGGTTGATGGCTGGACCTGATGACCTTACAGGTCTTTTCCAACCATAATGATTCTGTGGTTCTACGTAAGAGCAATAGATGCAGATTAACTTCAGCTTTAGGTCCGACACGTTGACCACGGTCCCTGCTCCTACACCTGGGGAAGGATCTGTGGGTCTTGCTCCTGAATCCAGATTTCCTGCATCACAGTGCATTACTTCACCCCTGTACCACCCGGCAGACTCAGATCCTCTTTCCAAAGGCAACATTTTGGAACACAGACAAGGTTGAAGCTCCCCAAACCAACTACTTTCTGTCAGGATGTACAGCAAACACGGAACCACAACACTGTGAATTCCTGTACGTGTGCCAGGAAGGCTTTTCTGGTGGATTCCTTCTGTACACCACTCTCACTGCTTTGTTAATGCCTTGTGCACAAACCAAGAACCCAAAGAGGAGCTCTGCAGGGCAAAAACACGAGAAGAGCAGCGAGGATACAGCCACCAACACCAGCAACGAGCACCCAGAACGCTTCAGAGCTCCAGTTTCAGAGAGCACACGGTTCTCAAGTCGGAAGAAACGTACCTTCCCTCCTCCAGGCTGGTGCTTGATGTTATCCGTCGAGCCGATTTTGGAACGGACGTTTTTCAGGTCTGGAGCAGCAGCACTGCTGGTGGGGCGCAGCGCTTTGGGGGCAGCGCTGGGTTTGGTTGCAGCCTTTGCAGGTGGTTTCTTTGCATCCGCAGCGGCGCTGGAGGCGGCGGTGGGTTTGGCTGCTGCAGGTTTGGGTTTGGGGCGGCTGGCGGCTGCGCCGGGCACGGCTGCGGTGCTGGTGGTGCTGGTGGTGGTGGGGGTGGTGGAACTGCTCTTCACAGCGCTTCCAGCAGCGCTCTTAGGGCGGGCCAGGTCTGCTGTAATGAGCACAGGGACATGGGAGGGATGATGGGGAAGGAAGGGGGGTCAGATGGCACGGCCACAAAGCGCCCCGGGGCCACGAAGGCACAGAGCGGCTGCAAACAAAGGATTCGAGTAGATGGAAACAGCAGAGTTACCTGACGGGGACTTGGCTGTGGCCTTCTTGGCATCTGCAGGCTTTGCATCGGTCTTGATGGCTGCCCAAGGCAGAACGTGTGGTTAGCACTGATAGAACAAGGGGAATGGTTTTAAAGTGAGACAGGGGAGGTTTAGGATGGATATGAGGAGGAAGTTTTTCAGCCAGAGGGTGGTGAGGCACTGTTACAGGTTGCCCAAGGAGGCTGTGGATGCCCCATCCCTGCAGGCATTCAAGGCCAGGCTGGATGTGGCTCTGGGCAGCCTGGGCTGCTGGTTGGTGACCTGCACACAGCAGGGGTTGGAGCTGGATGAGCATCGTGCTCCTTTGCAACCCAGGCCATTCTGAGTCTATGGTACTTCAGTGGGGAAAGCCAACGAGCGCAGGTGAGCAGCACAGCCTCCCCCAGAGGTCACCACACACTGCTTCTATTCTTAAAATAACTTCCAGAATCTGATGGCACTCACTCCAACATTACCCCAGCTTCATTGCTTTCAAAAGCCTTTCTTTAACTAACAGCAAAAACAAACGCTTGTCCACCCGTAACCTTGGTGTCACTGGTAGATCAATGTTAACCAATGCCAATTTCCTTGCACAGAGGTTATTGCACATTTTGGTGCCTGTTACAACTGCATAAAAATAAAATCAATCACAAAAGTGAAAATGTGCCTTTGGGCAAAGCCCAGTGATGCTGACCTGATTACAACCCAACCAGGCAGAGGTCACTAAACCAGGAACACATCTTTGCTCAAAGCAGAAAAAAACTATGCACATTTTTTACCATCAAGGTAAAAACGGACTGAAATACACAAACAGAACCTTATTTGAAGGAGTTGATAATGATAATGCTTAATTTCCTGTAACAGTCTTAGGTTTTTTGGTACTCTCCAGGGGCTGGGGGGGAATTTCATGGCACATCAGCACAGAAAAAAGGGGCAGGTAATGACAGGTCAGGTCATCCTGATCGTTCCATCCAGACTTTGCTAAAAGCTCTCAGTTAAACACCACAGATAAGACACAAGCTAATGAGATGAAACACACCAGAATAATTTAATAAGACCTTGAGGACAGATAGCTAATTAAAGCCAATCACATAACAAGGTCCTCTTGAACCAAATGCATCTCCCTCCTCCAGACCCCAGGACTAGGATTGCTGGCAGCAGGGCAGGGGCAGCCCAGTATAAAGGTGTGAGGAGCAAACACATAAAGAGCTGTGACTATTTCTGCTCCTGTCAGCAAGGACCAGGTGCTGGAAGCCCACTCACATCAGCAGCACGTGATGCTGAAGACCCAGTAGTGGGAAAATGGTCTGTAATGGTGGGCCAAGCACTGAACAGAACTCAGACCTCTTCTCTGATAGGAGACTGACTGCCAGCACCCAAAGAAGCGATGCCATGCAACTTCCAAAGAAGCCACCATCCACACTTTCATACAGTGAGAATGATAAAACATTTGGGCAAGCTGGGATGTGGTTTCTAAGGTGTGAAAATCAAGGGCAGATGTCCTTCTAAAATGTCATCTTCAGCCAGAAAGTTACTTTCTGGCTTAATGCTACGCCGTGATGAGAGCCAGCTCTCCATCCTCTCCACTGGACCCTGCTGGAGCTGCATCTGCTCTGCCTGAGCTGCAGTGGCTCAAGACTTCACAGCACCATTCACCCTTCACTGCACCATTCACCCTTCACTGCACCATCACTTTGTCCCCTTCCAAAAGAAGCCTCCCTTCTTTCACAGGGTCACAGGGTGGCTGGGTTGGAAGGGACCTCAAAGACCCCCTTTTTCCAACCCAGTGCTGCAGGCAGGGCTGCCAACCTCGAGCCAAACAGCAGAGGAGCAGCCCAGGGCCCCATGCAACCTGGCCTCGAGCACCTCCAGGGATGGGGCTCTTCCACCAGCCCTGCCTCCCTTCTGCATTCCAGACCCAGGACAGCTTCAGTTCCTGGTGGAGCCCCTCCAGCTGCCCTCACGTCTCCACCACCGTCCCTCTTTCCCCTCTGTACACTGGCCATGTCCCACACCCTCAATAGCACAGGAGCCCCTTCCACTGCACATCTTGTCACTTGGAACAGCTTCCCTCTGTCTCTGCATCAGTGCCTCCATCTCCTTTCAGATGTCAGCAGATGACACTTCTCCTTTGTTTGCATCTCAGTTTTGGAAGGAGGAATTAACTCAGCTGAACTCATTAAAATGTGTCAAGCATTCTATGCTGCAGTTTGCATAACAGAGCAAACAAAAGGAATTCTAACAGAACGTCCACAGGATGAGTGAAGACATACAGCTCTTGCAAACTGCAACACTTCCTCTGCGCAGGATTAATTACACTTTCCCCCTGAGCAAAAAAAGCGTGGGATGCACATCTAGTGTAACACATTTCAGCACAGTTATAACACCATTACTCCTTCAGGAAATGCGGGTTATGAATTCATGCTCTGGGACTCATAGAGCAAAGCAACTAATGTGCATTGGTTTTTAAAAGTTCACTGGCTAATCTCAGGTTGGAACCAACCCAAGGCATCCTATGATTCCACGGCATTCTGATAAGTGATGATGAGGTCCAACCACGTGAGAACACTGCAATACCTTTTCATCTGAAGTTCAATCTCTCAGACTACTGAGATGGGTGAAAACAATGCTTTCAGGAGGCCAATGTGCTGCTGTGTTGGCTGTGTTAAACTCATGGGAAGTTCCCTCGTGGCAGCAGTGCCCTGGGTGGACACAGGTTTCGGGTGAAGCTGATGTGATCTGCAAGCTCTCCAAGCATTGGTCAAGGGGAAAAGCCACCAGCCTCCAGCTGGAGACAGACCAGACAGCAGCCGAGTCCTCGCTCTTAAATCAAACATGCTCAGTAGTTGCATTAACCACGAATCAACCTTGCTTGCTCATTAAGAGACTAATTTTAATCAACTGGGAGTCACAGGGTGATGACCACACAGCGACTACTGAACACAGCGACACGATGGACACATCCCTTCGCATGAACTGCTGGTGCTACTCAACCAAAAACCAGCAGTTGGATAGAAAGAGACCTGCTGGAAACAAAGGAGGGCATGCTTACATGTTGGCCTCTTGGGGGGGGGAGGCAGTGGTGCTCTTCGCCCCAGCAGCTGCAGTCACAGGGGAGGTGGCCGTTGTCCGAGGAGTGGCAGCGGTGCTCCTGGCAGCAGCACGAGGAGCAGCAGATGATGGAGGCTTTGAGAGCGAGGTCCTCTTATCCGGGCTCTTTGCATCTGTGACCTGGAAACAGACAGGTTCTGTCACAGCCAGCAGCTCACTGACTGCCTCTTCAAAGAGTCTGACAGCAGAAAGCATGAAATAAATAGGTTTATTTTTCTCATGTGCTAAGTCTAGAAGGTGAATCCTTGAACACAGATAGGACCTTGGGCCAAATGTGTATTAAAGCAGAGAGAAGAATGAAAGTTTCGTTTGTCAACTTCACTGAGAGCAGAAAATTCACTAGACCTTAAAATTCAACTTAATATCAACAGGATTTCAGGCAAAAGCTGATTCCATTCCTACAAGGTTTGAATGTGAAGGGCTGGGGAGGGATGCTCCACATTTCCATGCCTGTAAGCTCCAGGTTGCACGACGCAGAAAGGCCACAGAAGTCAGGGTAGGGAAAACCCCAGGGACATTCCCTGTTGTTAACACTGTGCATGGAAGCCTTACTTGAGCTTTCAGATGAAACACTTCAAGAACTGTTCACAGATGATCTCTTCGAGGAGAATTACAAATCTACAGTGTTTGCTAAGCCCATCACTGTACCAGTTATCTTTGCATAGTTCTATAATGGCTATAGAGCTGTAGAAGGACATAAGCTGGAAGGGACCTTAAAGATCATCCAGTTCCAGCCCTTCATACAGAAACAGTCAGTGGGAAATACTGGAGTGTTCAAACTGCTTTTCCTCCTTCAATATTAATACTCTGAAATTCTCCATTCCATGCTTTTGTTTGATTTAACAGTTATCTTGGGTTTGCAGTGTATCTATATTTCAAAATGACAAGAAATAGAGAAACAGAAAAATATATTGCGTGCTCTGTGACAGCTCACAAGGAAAATCATGGGAATGCAGTCAAGTTTCATATTCACCTCTGTGAGAACTAAATGCCTGAGACCTGATGCTCCATGTGGGTTAATGCAAGCTAATGTCAGTAATCATAGAAACACAGAATTATCAGGTTGGAAGGGATCTTAAAGATCACAGAGCCATAGGATAGGTTGGGTGGGAAGGGATCTTTAAGATCATAGAGCCATAGGATGGTTGGGTTGGAAGGGACCTTAAAGATCATAGAGCCATAGAATGGGTTGGGTGGAAAGGGATCTTAAAGATCATAGAGCCAAAGGATGGTTGGGTTGGAAGGGATCTTAAAGATCATAGAGCCAAAGGATGGTTGGGTGGGAAGGGATCTTAAAGATCATAGAGCCATAGGATGGTTGGTTGGAAGAGACCTTAAAGATCATAGAACCATAGGATGGTTGGGTTGGAAGGGATCTTAAAGATCATAGAGCCAAAGGATGGTTGGGTGGGAAGGGACCTTAAAGATCATAGAGCCATAGGATGGTTGGTTGGAAGGGTTCTTTAAGACCACAGAGCCAAAGAATCCCCGAATGGTCGGGTTGGAAAGATGCTGAAAGCCATTTCCAGACCTGCCCTCTGCCTTGAGCTGGCTGCCTCACAGCTCAGGCTGCCCAGGACCCCCCCCAGCCTCGGGCACCCCTAGAGATGGGCACCCACAGCTCTGGGCAGCGCCAGCTCCTCACTGCTCAACAACCGCACGCCTCCTAACACAGTAAATCACATCTGCTGCCTTATCCTCCCACTGTCAGCACTAGTTTTGACTTCTGGGCAGAACTGGGGGCACGTGAAGCTCTCGGGGCTCCCCACAACAGCGCGGCAGTACTTACCTTTGGCTTAATCTCTTTTGGAGTGAGGGTGGAGGGCCGCGTGGCGCTGCTGGCAGGGCGCTTGGGAGTGGTGGTGGCAGGAGGGCCCGCCGTGGGGCTGGTGGGCTTTTTGTGGGGGCCAGGAGTGGCAGAGGCCGGCCGTTTGGGGCTGGTGGCGGCCGCGGGCCTGGCTTTCGTTGCCGTGGGCTTTGCTGCTGGTGTGGATGCTGCAGGCTTTATGGGTTGTCAAAAAGCAAAATCCGGGATGGAAAGAAAAACGAAAGAAAACACAACAACAACAACAACAAAAAAAGAGCGCATGGTAAAACTGAAATATCAAGCTGCAGGAACATAAGAAAACGGCAATTAAAATGAAAGAAAAAGAATTAGCTTTCTATTTTCTGAGCCTAACGGAGATGACAACGAAGCAGCTCCGATGCCTTCAGAGCCCAGTGGAGTTCTGCCATTCAGTTTGCTAAAAATTGATTCCAGCGACATCCGAAGCAACAGAAGGAAGCATTGCTAAAGCTGGGATTAGTGATGGCTGCTCCTGGCATCCAGTCCTGCACGCAGGAAGCAAGATGCTGCTTCCCAAATTACATGCACACGGGGGATGGCAAGCTGTAGATCCGAGCCCATCGGCTCCAATGGCCCGGTGCTCCCTGCCCTGTGCTAACTGCAGGAACGTGGCCGTGCCAAGGGCTGCATGCTGCGGGGGGCAGAGCTCTACCATGCTTCAGAAGGCGAGGGAATGTGGGGTCCTGAGCAGGACACCTCGGTGCTAACTGCAATGTAATTACATTGTAAATGCAATGCTGTCAACAAGGAGAGCATCAGCACAGCACACTTGTTACTGAATATCTTTACCACTTCTGCATGGCAGATGTCAACCTTTGAAATAAAAGCTCACCCTTAATGGTTACACCCTTCCTCAGCCAACTCTGCTACAGGTTGCAACTGCAGAACTGAAGGCGTTTGCTTCAACAAAACGGTTCCCCAGTGGTGGCTCAGAAAACAGAAGTCGTGGCTGGGGCTTAAGAAGCAGCAAAGCCAGCAAAGGGAGCCATGGAAGCACAGAGGGTGGAGGTGGGAGGTCTTTGTCTTCTTACCTTTGTCTTCTTCTCGGGGCTCGGGGGCAGCTCCTTGTTGGGGGGTGCTGTGATGTCGTTCCCTGTCACGGCGTCGGCTGCCTTGGGCTCCTCTGGTTTTGCTGGCAAAAAAGAAGAACGGAGATTTCAGTGTGAGCCTTTTTTGTTGGCGTGGTTGGCGGGGCGGTTTGTTTTTTTCCCTATTATTCATTAGCATAACAAGAGGAAACAGAACAGAATCGGTTACGGGTTGGCTATTTTGGGGAAAATACCCCCAAAACCAGAACACCCATGGGAAGAACACCCTCCCTGTTACAGGACGAGGCCAACAAACGCTCATCCAATGCCATCAGCATCCAATTGCTCGGCTCGTGGAGCTGCCGAAGGGAACCTCTTGGTTAAGTAAAACCAGCAAACTTTCCCATCCTTCAGTGCTGTTACATTTTGGAACGAAGCTCTGCCATCTCCCAGCACAGAGCGCTGAGCCTTGGGATGCTCATCCCCCATCACCTGCAGTTCAGACAGAGCCATCAGTGCCGCTTCCCACAACAAGGCGAGGGATTGTCTGCAGCCAAAGGACAGCAGCACAACAACCCCAACAGAGGGACGTTGTTTTCTGTATCTCTGCAAAATCCATGATTCTCTTCCTGTTTTCTCACTCAGAGACATCTCAGCAGTTCCACAAAGCCCTGGTTTGCAGCTGATTTATGTTGGCTCCTTTCTACTTCTTCTCCCCACCGAATCCCCACTTCTCCTCATCTCTCACCCATTTTACCCGCAGTAACACCAGGACGAGTGCCTGCTGTCAGCAAACGTGCTGTGGAACCACAGCCCTGTGCCCATCCACCCCCACAGAGCTCATCCTGCACAGCTGGGTTTGGAATCTCCCCTCTCAGCCATCAGCCACCACTGGAACGACCTTCCCTCCCTGCGCTGCCATTACTGCTGCTATTTCAGCCCACTCAGTGGTGCACAAAACCTCTCCCTTGATGGCAATTCTAAAGCCACCCAACAGAAGCCGCCTGTCTGCTCGGGATGTGGATTACTGAAGCTTCAGGATTCCAACTCCAGCAGCTGCCAAGCTTTGCAGTGCATCAGAAGACACTGTTCTATGTTACCTTACCAGCTACAGACCACAGCACAGGACCCCTGCGAGCAGCCCCAGCAAACACACCAAGCAACTGGGTGAGCACAGAGCTCCTACACAACCAGCAGAGCAGAGTTCTTTAATTCAGAACAGCAACATCATCGGTGGATGGAGCTACGCACAGGATGACGGCCCAGGTCATGGACCCACACCTGGGAACAGCACTGAGGATGGGGGAGGGAACCCGGATGGTTGAGGGCTCTGCTCATGGCAGCCCCAATAAGGGGGTCCCACCCAATAAGGGGGTCCCACCTGCACACAGCCCCAGGGATGGCAGAGGAACCATTCTGTGCTGCTTCCATGCAATTACCAGCCCAACACGCTCCCCAGTCTGCTTGCTTCCACCCACCCATTAATGAGGAGGGTGCACTCTGCCATCCGGAGCACTGAACCGCCTGGGAATTCGTGCTCGCTGTGGGGGATATTGGGAAAAGCTGCCAAACCTTAATCAGATGTGTTCATTAGTCTGCAAGAGTTACTGAAGAGCCCTTCAGCTCCCCCCATGTGGCAGCAAACCTCAGAAGTACTCCAAGGACATCGGCTCCGAGCAGCAGACACAGCGCATGGGGCCTCCCTGGAGTGCTGGTGGACACAGGCTGCCCAAGGAGGCTGTGGATGCCCCATCCCTGCAGGTATTCAGGGCCAGGCTGGATGTGGCTCTGGGCAGCCTGGGCTGCTGGTTGGTGACCTGCACACAGCAGGGGTTGGAGCTGGATGAGCATCGTGCTCCTTTGCAACTCACGCCAGTCTACAGGGCCCTGTGTTATGGAGAGGAGGATGCCCACACCACACGTAATTCCTGACCTGCTGTCCCAAAACCAAGTCCTGCTTACAAGCAGAGTAACCACAGGGAGTTTTCCTAAACATAAGGAAAAAAACCAACCCACCATCCCTAAGAAGAAGCCCCCCAGCACCCTGTGATTTTCACCCTATAGGCTCCCCAGGCCTCCCTGCAGCCTCCCATGAGCTTCTCCGACAGCTTTGTAGCCCACGTAACCATTTAACATTAGGATGGCAGGATGATGAAGGCTGGAAGGGATGTCTGGAGGTCGTTCAGACCAATTCCCAGCTCAAAACTGCTCCAAATTACAGCAGGATGCTCAAGGCTTTGCCATGGTGTCCTTTGAGTACCCCAGGGATCCCACACCATGGGGCTTCTCCTCCAATATTTGATATACATATAAATGGATGGAGTTTTTTTTGCCTACTTGGTTCTCTTCTCCTATCAGAACTCTTACATTCCATCCATACTGCCATGTTTCATGGATCATGAACTGATGCAGAACAAAACCCCTGGGTGCTGTTTCCCAAGCTCCACGCAGCAACTCATGCAACTACTCCCAAAAATTCATCCTCTGAGTCAGGAGGAACAGAGGAAGACCCCACCATGAAGCACCTTAAGCTCATTTTTGAGGGCCACAAGCAAGCAGCTCTATTTCCTGCTACCATGGTGAGCAAAAGCTCCAAAGTGAAAAGGAAGATAAGTGAGAGTGGTGACCACACACCACGCATTGAGAACATCAGTGCTGCCAGGGCTTTTTTCCTTTCTTTCCTGCTTGTTGGCTGGTTAGAAGCGCAGCACAGTTGGCTTGGAAGGGACTGCAAGACCATCCAGCTCCAACCACAGGCAGGGCTGCCAGCCCCTAACACAGACACAGCTCAGGTGCCCAGGGCTCCATCCAGGGACGGGGCAAAAAGAAGCCAAGAGCTTTTCAGTGCAGACCACAGACTTGAGCAACCCACTCCTGTCCCACCTGCTCAGCTTTATGGTCTCTGCACCCCCTCCCAGGCCTGGGCCAGCTCTGGGGTGGATTTGCAGCCACATCCCCAGGCAGCTGTGAGCGAGGCCAGGCGCTCAGCCCCAATCTCCAGTGAGGGATATCAGCGGGCTAAGCCGAGCTAAACATCATTCACTGCAACAGCCCCGGAATTCTCATACGGATTAGAGTCATCAACAGCAAATCCATTAAGAGAAACAGATTAAGCAATAAGGCAGTGGCCATCTTTACTCTCTCTAACGTAAACAACCTCAGAATCAAAACCAGCCCTCATTCGACGCTGGTTTTGCCCAAAATATCACACAGGCACGAGCTTTCCACTTCACCCATCCTACTCACAAAACAGCTCATCGTTAAAGCAGCAATACAACCCAAAATACAACCGTCTGCTTCTTTCCTCCCCAGAGAATGCCAACCAAAGCGTCTTCCGTGCAGAAGAGCATCTCCCATTGGCACCCACACAGAAGAGCAGAGCATTTCTTGTCCAAAGAGTGCCTGGGCACAGGCACAGCTGCCAGGGGTTGGGGTCACCACCCAGGGCTGCGCCAGGACTGTGGGATGTGGGCAGTGTGGAGCTGGGTGGTGTTGCATTGGAGATCACTGGGGGCTTTTCCACCCATAACGGTTCTGTAATTTGCTGTGGCACCGGACATCAATGTCATGTTGGGTGTTGTGATCAGAACTGAAGGAGCACAGCTGACATCCTCATGGCCAGCCTGGCCCAGCCCAGCCTGATTTGTTACTATTTCTACATGGGAAAGGAAGCCCTACATCACAAATTGCTCTCCTGCAAACCAGCTGCTTGCTGTATCTACTGCACGGCACAGCCTGCAGTCAGCTTTAGTTAGAGTAACCAACACATGTAGGTGACCCCAAGAGTAACGCCTCTGATTTATTTCCCTGGAAACTAAATGGAAAAAAACTACAAAGAGCACAATAACTTTATTGGATGGAGCAAATTCTGCACTGCCCTGCTGCTCCTCTGTGCTCCCCCCACTTCAACGCACTTCCAGAGCTGAGCCTGTGCCTCCATGGCAATGGTTCTAAGGAATACATGTGAGCACTGCAACCAACACAACACCTTGGATCACTGAATCACAGAATCCTGTATCACAGAATGCCTTGGATTGGAAGGGACCCCAAGGATCACGAAGCTCCAACCCCCCACCAATGCAGGGCCACCAACCTCCCCATTGCACAGCAGCCCAGGCTGCCCAGGGCCCCATCCAACCTGGCCTCCAACACCTCCACGGATGGACGGGGCATCACAGCCTCTCTGGGCAGCTGTTCCAGCCCCTCACCGCTCTCACAGCACACAACTTCCCTTCACATCCAACCTCCAGCTGCCCTCCCTCAGCTTCAAACCATTTCTCCTTATCTTGCTATCCTGCTAATCCTGGACCTGTCTGAGTTGGAAGAGACCCTTGAAGGCCATCAGGTCCCACTCCCTGCAGTGAATGAAGACACCCACAGCTGCATCAGTGCTCACAGCCCATGCCCTGACCACGGGTGTTTGCAGGAGTTGGGGCACCACCACCTCTCACTGCGACCCATGCAGTGCCTCGCTGCCCTCAGTATAAACTATTTTCTTATCAAACCTTCCTTCTTATCAATCTCCCACATTCATTTCCAGCTCAGCCCCCGACAGACATCGATGCCGTTCTGTGCTTAAGGCTGAACACCAAACCAGGACTTTATGGGACCCTGTATCAGGTTCTGTTCATCACCTATCTCTTGATTTTCCCTTCCATCCCGCAGTCCTTCACTTTCCCTTCCTTCTCATTCAAACCATGATTTCATCCAGCAAGGAACCATGTCAGCAAAGCAGCCACCACGCCGCCAGCATCCCCTGAGCAAACATCATTACTTGGCTACAAGGCAGTGGGGCTGATATTTCCTAAGCCCATCATTAACTTTAATCTATTTAAATATGGGGTGATGACAGCACAGCCTCCCCCAGCAGGGAGGGATGGCTCAGATGGTCCTCTGAACACAAGAACAGCATTCTGCTGCTCGTGGACTGACAGAGGAACGATGCTCACAAAGCCAGGATGGCTTCTTGGATGCACACACACTGTGCTGAGCATTGGGAGCGACGGTCAGGGCTGTCATATCCCAGCAGTGCCTGGGATTGCAGATATTTGAGAGCAAAAAATCTTTGAAATCGGAGGAAATTCAAAGAAAGTAGCAAAAAAAGCAGTGGGGAACGGCATCGCTTTTGTACGGGATGCCATCGGGGCCGACATTTTTGGTATGTGCAAGAAATCACACACTGGCTGCTTCTACAGCGCATACATGAATCTATTGTTCAGCACAGGAAACAATGCAAGCTCACGCTGTGGCCGGGCTCTGTGGCCAATGCTGATGTGATAAGGGAGCACAGCACGGAGTGCCAGTCAGCTCTATCAGCCCAAACCTGCAGCACACTGATGGCACTCTGCCTGTGCCAGCAGAGGGGGAGCGAAAGCTCAGCACAGGATTGGAAGCGCTGCATACACAGCCAAGTAATTTTGCTCTGTTTTCTTTTGCATTCCAACAATTCTTTCTTAACTGTAGATATATGAAGCAAAAACATACATTCTGTTGCTTCTACTGCTACATTTTCATAGAGTCATTAAGAATCATGGAATCACAGAACGGCCTGGGTTGCAAAGGAGCACGATGCTCATCCAGCTCCAACCCCTGCTGTGTGCAGGTCGCCAACCAGCAGCCCAGGCTGCCCAGAGCCACATCCAGCCTGGCCTTGAATGCCTGCAGGGATGGGGCATCCACAGCCTCCTTGGGCAACCTGTGCCAGTGCATAAAACCATTAAGGCTGAAAAAGACCACGAAGGTCACCAAACCCAACCATATTTTCTTCCAGCAGAGAATAAATCCAGAGCGGATTTCTTAGCGAGGCTCTGCACAAAGCAAACCTGACCTGCCTGAGCCCTCACTGCTCCTTCTGGGGCAGGGGATGGAGCAGTCACTCTCACTGCCGTGCCTAGGAGAGCCCAGCCAGCTCTGCCAGCACCAGCTCACACTCAGACCTGTGCCCTACGGTCCATACATCAGCTTTTAAAACACAGAGGAAAGAACTTCCAAATGGGACGCTTACATCTCGGTGCTACGAAGCGGTCATCCACCAAAGGCAAGCCAAGCAGAAGGCCCTGCACGTCCCCAGCTTTCAGTGACCTTTACATTGCTGGTGCTCAGCCCCCCAGGGGAAAACACATCAATCCACTCAAAACCATTTCTTATGCCTCTCTGCCTAAAAGATGCTGTACATCTGTTCTGAAATGGCCTGATGGGACGGGCAGCCCAGGCCCAGCACAAAACTGTGTGTCCAAAGCAGGAGCAGAGGACCTCTGGAGGTCCCTTCCATCTCAAAAGGTTCTACAATTCCACGATTCCTCGCCAACAACACGGACTGTCCCTGCAAATAACCCTCAGCATCAGCAGACCCCAACAGCACAGAAATTCCCTAAAGTGAAAGGTCCAAGGCACAAATACAGCATTTTCCTGCTCCCGTTTTACCCTGACATCACTGCTAATCATGGCTGAGCAGTCCAGAAGCACAGATCCTCTTATGCCCCAACCTGACCCCTCTGTCAGCAGTGGGACCTGCTGGCTCCTGTGGGTCTGTGGAGCTGTGACAACCCCATTAACCCCTTCAGGATGGATGTCTGCACCCACAACAACCAGAAGTGATGCTGCTTCATCACACGGCTGCCAGGACAACTTGAAATCTGCATGCCAACTAGACCATAATGAGTAAGGTAAGAGAAGGGGAGAGGGGGTGGTGTGTCAGAGCTGGGAGGTTTGTGGGTCTGGAGGGAGCCCTGGGACCTGAAGCACCTCGAGGAAATCATAGGATCAGAATCACAGAATGGTTGGGTTGAAGGGACCTCAAAGACCATCCAGTTCCAACTCCTAGGTGCAGGACACCAAATCAGGCATCAGATGGAGTAAAGGGCATTAAGGACAGAACACAACCGTGCTGAACGTGGTTACTGAGAGCTGGAAGGAAGATCAGAGCATCTTGGGGGCTGCCACGCTCCTGGGGTCACTAAGCAGCCATTGGGTGTCAGCAGCACGCCACGAACCATGGCCAAACCCATGGCACAGCACCTGCCCTGCTCTGCGTGCCGTGGCACTGGGGCAGCCCAGCACCCCTCCAACACAGCATTCCAGAGCCCCACTGACCTGTGCTGCCTTTCTCTGCGTGCTGTCACCCTCCCCTGTCACAGCAGGCATCGCAACCTCAAGTTTCTGTGATTCCTCCTCTGAAGGCTGAGCCAACCGGCGCAGGCACAAAGAGTCACTGGTGCCAGAATTCCATTGCAATCTTCTGTCTTTCCTTCCCCAGGAGAAGGAGATTTTCTTTCTCCTTCCCATGAATGCTCCTTAGCACAAACCACAAAGAGGGAGTGCACCAACCCTCCTCACATCCCGCATCTGGGTGCAGCACGGGCTGAGACTGGCAGGAGGGACAGGGATGCTGTTCCAGGCTGGAGAGCAAAGATTAACCACAATTCTCCCAAATTGTACATCTGAGAAGACTGATCTCATTTACACAACCACCAGCACAAAGCTGCTGTTGCCACACAGCAAAAGGGAAAGCTCTGTCAGAGCCGGGTGCTGGAAAAGTGGCTGCAAAAGGCTGCAGGAATTCCATCCTGAGTTCCAGCACTGAAGTACTTGTGAAGAGCTGAATGACAGAAACCATTCCACACACAGACTTTTGTTCATCACCTTGGATAAACAGCACAGGGTGCCGAAGGCTGAGCTGAAAAGGGCACTGCTCAAACACCTGGGGAGAAACTGACAGGTCTGAAATCCCACAGTCGGACCCTTACTGAAGTGCACACTGCAGGATGCAAAGTCTATGTGGGCTCCCAGCTACCACTAAAGCAGTGAGCTGTTGAAGTGTTTCTCCATTTTCTTCCACCCAAACATCCACCTTTTGTCCCCAGCACCAGCCTCCAACCAGTGCCATCCCTCCAGGTGTGTGAACCTCTCCTCCCACAGCCCGGACTCAGCGAGCTGCTTCCTCTGCCTGTCTGTGTCACAGAATTACAGAATCACAGAATGCCTTGGGTTGGAAGGGACCTCAAGGATCACGAAGCTCCAACCCCCCACCAATGCAGGGCCACCAACCTCCCCATTGCACAGCAGCCCAGGCTGCCCAGGGCCCCATCCAACCTGGCCTCCAACACCTCCACAGATGGACGGGGCATCACAGCCTCTCTGGGCAGCTGTTCCAGCCCCTCACCGCTCTCACAGCACACAACTTCCCCTGACATCCAACCTCCAGCTGCCCTCCCTCAACTCCAAACCATTTCCCTTGTCCCGCTGCCATCTCCCCTTGCACAGAGCTGACTCCCCTCCTGGCTGCATCCTCCCCAGGGAGGGAAAAATTAGCAACATACCATCACGTGGCGAATCCTGCTTGGGAGTCAGAGTGCTCCGCGCATCGCTGACCTCAATTTCTTTCCTTTCCAGCGGAGCAGCTTTGCTGGATTCCATCTTGGCGCTTTTGCTTTTCGGAGGCTCAGCGCCGGCAGCTCCCCCGGTGGCATCTCTCTTCTCCCCCTTCCCCTCCTCCCTCCCTCTGTCGAGGCAGCCCATCTCAGGGATTTGCTCCAGCTTGCTGTGATACGCACTGGGGCTGCTCAGCTCCTTCCTGCCCACCCCGCCGCGCTCCTCTTTCTTCTTGGAGCTCGGCTCCTCGGCCGCGCACTCGGGGTGCTCCCGTATCACCAAACTGGGCAGCTCTGTGCCCAACCCGACGCCGGCCGCCTGCTCTTCTGCCACCGTCATTGACCTCTTGATGGCAGCGCTCTGCTTCCTGGCCGTGGGGCTGGAGCACTGGCTCAGGCTGCTGCTGGGGGACAGCAGCCCGGTGGCCACGTCTTCGCGGAGCACCGGCTCCGGGTACTTGTCAGCCAGGTTGAGGGTTAGGGGCACGGACAAGTGCGAGCACTCGGACATGGCACGCCTCATCGCCTTCCTTTGCTGGGCAGCTCTGTTCAGAAAACCATCGTCTGCACAGCTCAGCTTCTCCTCCATCTCTTCCTCCATCTCTTCCTCCATCTCGGCAGCGTTACTGAAGTGACTTTTGGAGTCATCTTGTGCCAGCTCGACAGTGGTGGTTGGGGGCTCCATCTTCGCGGCGGTCGAGGAAGAAGGAAATCCACTCTGCACATAGTTGTCATTAACCACCCCGACCACACAATAGCTGGGGGCTCCATCTTTTTTCACGGCTGCTTCTTTACTGCCCGAATCATTAGGCAGGACAGGGTGGAAATTGGGGTTCCAGACGCTGACCTCCTGCTCCTTGGTGCTCTTACCGGGATCGCTCCCCGGCACAGACAGAGGGCTGGGCTCTGCCTGGCTCCGGCTCTCCACGCCGGCCCTCCCGGCTGCCTTCTCCTGGTCGGTGATGGCTGTGGTTTTGCCCAGCCCAGGGCACGGTTTCTCAGCTCCTGTTGGCCCCACGTGGAAATCGGTCGTTTTGGGGTTTGCAAAGCTCCCCTCGGCCGAAGGGAACGCGTCGGCGATCAAAGACCAGCTCTCAAGGTGACCCGCAGCCGCCTGATACGCTTTGCCTTGCACCTCAATTTCTCTTTTGTCTTTCTGAGCTATTTTTAGCTCTTTGTCTAATTTGCCTTCAAAGAAGCACAGCTTGTCCTCATCCGTGAAACCGGCGTTCTTAACCAGCCCGTCCTTCATCGGTCCCCCCGAGTTCACATTCAAGCCAATCTCATTCAGCTTCCCCTCCGTCCTCTGCCATTCGAATTCCGTTTTCCCGAAGTCTTTCGGGGTCTCCATGCAGCGGAAAGCTTCCGAGAAGCTCTCAGTCTTGCCCTTGCACAGCTGGCTGTATTCAGACAGGGCAGCGGGCTGCTGGTTGGAGAGAGACATCTCTGGAGCTCGGCGTCTCCCGGCGCTGTGCGGCTCAGCCCGGCTGCGATGCTGCGCGTGCCCCCGACTCACGGCAGCTCCCTCCCGTCCCCCCGCCCCTCTCCCACCCCTTCCTGCCCACCGCAGCCTCTCTCCCAACCGCTGCCCGCCCTCCCCTGTGCTCCTCTTTGGCTCTGCACATTTCCGTAGCGGCGGTGGGGCTGTGGATGGATGCTCGCAGGGTCTCAGAGCTCTCGGGGAGATGATTTTCTAAGACCAGCGTTTCTGGCAGCTGCACGTTGCTGGAAATGGTGCCTCCTCCTTTTCTTCCACCACGCCGTGTTACGATCGGTGCCTTTACAATCATTAATTCCCACTGATGAGCCACTCTCAGGAATACCAATGAATGAAGGTCAGCGTTTTCCTCCCCTGGAACAAACCCTAAACCCACACAGGAGTTCACCCCGAGCACAGCACAGCAGTGACCTCCAGCAGAGGGGCTTTGTTTGCAGCCAACGTTAACGCGTGCTTTTGGACTCGGTGACCACCGTGCTGCTGCAGGGAGGACTGTGGGGTTCACACAGCACCAATGGCACTGCTCCTATGGGCAAGCGGGCAGAGCCAGGCAGGACCTCATCCCAGACAGCAGAGGGTTTGTAGTTTGCAGAACCACAAGCCAGACTTCTTATTTCCCTCATTTAAATAAAAAGAAAATAAAACATACCAGATGATGCTTTGGACCTGCCTGGCTTCCACTGCCCTGAATGCACACAGTGCTCGGCCTGGCTCCACGCACAGCCCCACACCTCCCCACGCTTTGTGCCCTCACTGCAGTTCCCCGGTTCCACGGAGGACCCCCTCCCCACCATCACCACCACCACCACTCCTCCCCAGCACCCAGCCAGGGCAGCTCCCCCAACGTCTGACTGAGCACAGAGTATTTTTACAGCCTGTGCTACGCCCCCTGAATTGAACCTGCTGAGAAGCATTGCCATCCACACACCCAGCCGCTGCGGCGGAGCTCCGGCGTTAAGACAGTGCTATATTTAAAAACAATGACTAAGGAGCTGTAAGTTATATACATCTTCCACAACACCCTCTAATTAACCAGAATACTTCCACCCACAAGCTCCATTGCTCAAAAGGCCTCCACAGCTTTTATTTTAAAAATAAAATATTCATGGGTATCTTCCAGTTGAAATGGGAGCTCGGCTTGAGGCTTGCATTTGCTCTCTTAACTGAGGTGGGATTAATGTTTGCAAGCACTTCCTCACTCGGAGCATGGTCCCAAAAATGGAAGAGCCCTGAAGCCATCTGCTTCCATCTAAGTGCTGTTACACAGAATCACAGAATGGCCCAGGCTGGAAGGGACCTCAAGGATCACGAAGCTCCAACCCCC